CCCTCCATTTTTTTCTGACACTACAAGGTAAAAATACACTAGAGCTAATGTTTCCATGTTTTCAGAAGAATGGAAACTGGATGTTGTGGATAGTTGTCTACAAATGCAGGTAGGGAGGGCCTGGTCCAGCAAACACTGCATCACTACTGACCCATCACAAATGCAGTGAAATGTGAACTCGGATCAAGGTGCTCGCAGAACATCTTGCCCCTCTTGGCCTGTGCTAAGTTGGACTGCCCCCTTAAGACAGTTCAGTGGAATATCTTGGTCCTGCCCTGACATCAACGACTCTTCATTCACAGGAGTTTCCAAGCAACATGGGGCACGAATGACTCCTGGGTAGTGCCAAGCAAGCTGGCCCTTAGGCTCCCCAGCACTTTGGAGATTCAGTGAGAGAAGAGTGGGGGATTGTGCAGTCTCCAAAGCAGAGACGATTTAGAACAGATGCACACAGGGTCATGTCTACATGCCCAAAACTGCCTGCGGCATCTCTTTCCGCTGTGCCCCTGTGAAAGGTAACAATGGAACTGCCAACGGGGAAATGGCAGAAAGTCTCACAGGAAGCAAAGCGACTTAGACGCTTCCTCGTGGATTTTACCTCCCGCAGTAGAAATCCGCTGAAAGCTGACAAGGACAGCCTATAATTTCCAGAAGTCACTGAGGGGGTTTTAAAATAAGGGAAATTGCCTTACAGGTGACAAGGAACAAGTCTGACTGTCCAGGGAAATAAAGTCTCTGTGACTTCGGGGGAGAAAGAGCTGTTTGTAGAAGGAAACTGAGGCTTCTCCCTCAAAATAATGACGTGGTCTGGGTGACAAACAGTTACATGCAAAATCACAAGGGCGGCAATATTTATAAACTCTAAAATCAAGGCTTTCGGCCCGTGTATGTCAGTCACACTAACTGGCAGGTTAATATACGAACATGGAATCTAAGGACAACTTAGACACAGCAGGTCCTATCTTCTGGGGACCGCTACAGATCCCGACTCGGGAGATCAAGGCAAGCTGACCTGCGAGAGGCCATGTCTCTCCTGCCTTAAACATCCACTGTGATGAGATTCAGGTTCATCTATACTGACCAAATAAATCAGGAACAAAAGCTGAACATGAGTTTGGGACATAACTGCGCTTGTCTACCATGCCCAATGCACTGGAGTCTACTGCCAGCGCTCGCGAGGGTCGCTGCTTCAATGGACAGAGGGTTGATGAGATAGCCACCGCCTCTCCCACGGGTTAACAAAGTTAACGCACGCAGGGGCCTACAAAAAGCATGCCTGTGTTTGATGAACAGCAAGCGTTATTTCTAATTGGTAAACAATTTGCCCAATTCCTGAACTGATCTGGAAAAAGAAAAAAAATTAAAAAATGAATTCCTTTAAACTAAATGAAATATACTAAAGTAATAAAGCATCACAAGAACTCTTTGACATCTATCGACACTTTCTCCAAGAGGCAAAGGAAAATTTCATGTACAACAGAAAGAACAGCTAGCCTTTAGATTCTTAAGTTAACGGAGAGAAGGGAGGGAGCGGGACAAGGAGCCCCAGGATTTCCAACAGGGAAATGAATACAAACTATAAACTATTATTATGCCTCCACGCTGCCAGGGTCTGTGGGGAAGATAACAGGGAATCAAACTGAAGAATTTGACAGTCTCAGATCACAGTAGCAGCTGCTCCAGTAGTGAATTAAAGATACAGCGAGGAACCAGGGACAGGTGAGGCTCAGTGAGCATGTGAGCACCAAGACTCCAGCCAGGGCTGCCATCCTTCCGTAGCTGTGAGAGCCACCATGACTAAAGGTCTGTCCCCAGTGGCTCTGGTTTTGTTTACATCAAGTTTGAGCCTCAGTTCCATATGGCTCATCAATTTCACCTACAGAAGAAAGTGCTCCATTAACAGTTCTCGGCGGTTCCTTTAATTCACAGTTTGAAATACCGGGGTATGTTCACAGCGATGAAAATTCTATTCTGCACCTATAGTGTCTATGGTAAAGAAGCATGCTCGAGTTACCATCCCATAATGTTTAGCTTGTTCTGAAGAAACCAAGTTAACCCCTCACTAATGTGCAAATACCTACAATAAGACCCCACACTCCATGCCATCTGATGTGAAAATTAATATGAGGAATAGATGCACGAATTACTGAACTTGATAGAATACAGAGGCTATACCTCATGAACAGTGCCCAGAGGCTGAGGAAGAAATTATGGGAATTTCCACTCTCTAATACAAATTCCAAGGAGTCCTAAGTTTTTAGATGTCAACAATTTTTAAACATGCTTCACAGAGTTCTGTAGTCTAAGTAAAATGTTGCCAAAGTCGGGGATTAACCTGAAAACACTGACTTAGCTTGTCAAAATGAGTAGCTTAATCCACCGATAGTGGGCTACTGGGAATAAGACTTTGTGTGAGTACAGGTGAAAATTAAACTTTGGCCTTTCTTCTAGCATGTCCTAACACAGATGCTGCGAACTAGAGAGACTTAATGGGTTTTATCCACCTCAGCACCTGCCTACCTGCCCTGAAAAGTGGGCATGCATTGGCTCTACCACGTAAAGCTTTGAAAATGAAGTCAATATTCTGTTGAGGCTATTCTATCAGAAAAAAATGTGCTTAATGTCATATATCACATCAGACTGCATTCAATTAGCCTACGTTCGCATTGCTAATGTTTTGAAGATTATATTCACAAAAATTGTCCAAGATCAAACAAATCAGCCGTTTCTCTATAACTATTTACTTCATGAAACTGTATTATGTGATTTAAAGTCACAAAAGAAAAAAGGCGAGTGCTGACGTATGCATTTCACGCAGTATTTCACAGTGTTTCCATACACTGAGCTTATCTAACTACTTTTATAAAGTGTAAAGCCTTACACTTCCCAAGGAATCACCAACAGAAAACTTGCCTTCACATTTATGTTTGAATGTCTTACACTATTACCTCAGATGAAGGAAATCCTGTTTTCATTTGGTCTCTGACTTAAAAGCACCCAAGCTTATCTATACAGCCACTAGTGCCCCATAGGCTGCAAGCCCAACAAGTCCTTCTCGTTCACGGGCCACACTTGACTCTTGTATAGCCCAAGGAGAAACACTCTCGGGTTAAACAGAGGCAATGGCTGTAGAGCACGATAGATAAATTTAACCGATGCCACTTTTGGTGGGGCCATGTCTTTTAATAATTAATTTTTCCTTTAACTTGGGGCATTTTTTTCTGGTATTCTTTAGTTGTGGGTAGACTGCAGTTCAATCCAGTGTTACCAGAATAGGCAAAGTATAAGGGAAAATTCATAAATTATTCAAATTATTTCACCTAGATATCAACTGTAATAAGGATAGAAAAATAACATTTTAAACACTTAGAAATTATATAAACTTTAGGATAATATTGAAATGACGCTTCCACACATTCATTTTGTGCTAATTTCTCCACCAACCCATACAACCACTCTAATAGGAAAATCTATTTCAATTTAATATGCTTCAATACACTATTAAACATTACCTTCAAACTGGATGCAAACCATTATGTTAAAATCCATGGCAGTCTAAAATTTGCTTTTCAGTTAAAAAAAAAAAACCTTAAGATTATAGTGAATAAAACAAATATCCTTCTCTGCATCTTGTTATGTAACAGTCACACTGTATAAATAAAGTATAAACAAAATGATCACGACTCTTACAAATAGGAAACAACAATTAAATGGGAACTCTCAGTTCTACTGAGGCAGAACAAAGATTCCATGTATCTTTTATGCTACAGCAAAAAGATGCTTTTGCTTGATGGGATGGTAAAAGAATTAAAAGAGTAATAATTGTGACATTATTCAGAATTTCAGTCATATTAAATTAACATTTTATGCTAAACCATTGCACTACTTTTGCTTTAGCAAACTTTCAACCGGTTTCTGTACCAAGAGCTCCACAACGGTGCCAAGAAATTTTCAAGTCTTTGTAAATAGATGTGTGCTGCTTTAAAGTCCGTTTTTCAAGAATTCCTTTCCTCGTGGAAAAGATCATAGACAGAGCCTGTGTGTAGCGCATCACTCCTGTTTACTTTAATACTAAACTTTAAGGAAGGAGAAATGGATGGAATTTTTTTCCTGAGCACAAGGATAAAAGCAAAAGACCAACAATGACTGGGCAGGTTGAGGAGTTCACATTGCTTAATGAACAGGAACACTCGGTTCTTCAGAATGAATCAATTAGGTGACTGGGTGAGAGATAAATAAAAAGCAAGGCCCTTTCCATACTTCCAGATTTGCTTGAACCAGTCATATTTACGAACTGAAATGTTTATGAAACAAGGCAACTCCCCATGGGGCATGGAAGACAATGTGGGAGAGAGAGGTCTATGGTCAGAGCGGCTGCAACCTGCTCGAGTAATTAGGAAGCTAAGTGTCCCCGATAGAAGGACGTTAACAAGCTCCTGCAGTTTCCACTCTAGCAAGAAATCAAAGAGACCCAAAGCAGACAGCTCACTTCAGTAAAAGGATTATGAAGTCTGGCTATTAAGGCACAGACAGCGCTTGACCACAGTTTTCTTTCTGAAGAGACTTTCTAAAGCAATTAGCTTCTAGGGCCGGGCAGGATTTGCTAATTGAAGAGCAAAGTTAAAGTGTGGCCCTGGAAAGCATTTATGAAAACATATACACAAGTTTCTAGATGAGGCCTCTTTCAGATAACTCTTACGTTTGAAACCATTTCCAAACGCTACACAGGGAAATGTTCTTCGTTACAACAAACACCAGATCCCAGTTGGGATTGGTCATGAAAAAATTGACCATTTCCAACATTCACTGGTTGTTATAATAATTACAGTGTATTCAAATCCTTCTTTTAAGAGACAAAGCCTCAGAGCAACCACTGGACATGATGCTTATAAGTAAGACTCTAATACCAAGACAAGCAAAGACACAGGCCAGTGAAAATGACACAGGGGGCGTGAAGAAGGGACAGGCTTAGTCCGAACACAAGGGCAACACTCACGTACCTTGAGGACTTCCATCGGCACCTGGGTGGCAGAGGGAAGGGTGCTGGGCACGCTGACGTTTATGGCTGGTGTCTGGCTCACGGGCACTCTCTGTTGCATGAACTGGGCTGCTTGCAGCTTCTGCTGCTGTTCTCTGCGCTCCTGCTCCTGCATCTGCTCACGCATGAGTTGCTGGCGTAGCAAGATGCGTGATGTCATACTGGAGGAGCTTAACGGAGGCTTGGAGGCCCCAGGATGCTCTGCCGAACTGCGGTGAGGAAATCAGAAGGCATACAGCATTTAGTATCCTGATGAGACCCATCATCTGCATCGTGGCGTAACCTAAATGCCACCAAACTAGGAGGTGAGTCTGCACAGATATAATCAAGGCACGGCACAGAACGGCACTCCATGCAATTGAAAATCAAGAGGTGACAGGATTCTAGTCATTAGGAATTGAATTAAATAAGTCAGGCTGATTGCTTCTAGGTATTTTTATCAAATCACTTATTGCTTTTTGACATTTTATGCCACACACCGCTCATCTTCACCGACTATAATGTCACCATATGCAACAATTAGAAACCATCCGTCTCAGCGGCATCCAAGTCTCCACAGCTGAAAACAAATTTCTTGATTTGCTATTTTAAATAGCTAAGTCTAACTAACCAATGGTTCCTATGTTATCTAAAATCCTTGAAGATGTCTAACTTGGTTGCTGGTAAGGAAGCCCAGTTACGGGAAAGATTATGAAGAAAAGAGATGACACAATCGTTAATGGAAAAGCACCAGGACCAGATGTTGACACTGCGCTCCACCCCTGTTTGGGGCAAGGGGACGGACAGAAGAGAAGCTGGGCTGACAACCCAGCTTCTTTCCTCTCAGTTTTCTTTGTGCGTCTTCCCTTGCAACTCCTCTGGACATGGCCAGAGCATTGGTGTTCTGTGCTTTCCCCACAAGCTCTAGTTGTAAAGGTCGGGACATGTTCTGTCCACTATCATCTAAGATGCTGAAGTGCAGTGAGGTAAGAATAGAAAGAGCTCCCATTTTCCCTAGGTGAGGCTTCGAGTTGCCTCGCTTGCCAACTCTGTGATATGAACAAATGATAAACCTCTTTCTGCCTGGGTTTCCATACCTGGAAGAGTGGTCTACAGCCTTTTACCCATTTATAAAAGCAAGGGTATGTTCTTTAAATATTTGCTGTACCACTCATACCAAAATCCTTCCCTCCTAAGGCCTGGGGTTGTAAGGTCTAAATAGCACAATGCCCATAACCCCTGTCTACAATGAACATTGCCCTGGTAAATGTTTATACTTGCTCGTATTATCATCCAGTATAGGAATCAAACTTAATTATAATTATTCAAATTTCTGTGCAAGCTCATAATACAAGATTTTGGCTTCTGGGAAGAGAAAAAAATGCTTTAGGAGAGGCATCTAAATTCAGCGTTCCTTTTGAGTGTAAACCCCAGCACTGTGCTAACCTTCCTACCAAAGACAAAAGCCATCTCTGTGACAGACATAAGGACAAAAAGGCTGCACAAGTGGCAGGTGTGCTACAGGTCACAGATTTGTGTCGTACTCTCACGTAGTCCCCCAAACACCCCAAAGCTTATTTATTTTCCATACAGGAAATTGGTTCAGTAAATTATAATAATCATAACATTTAATATCATGCATCCACTAAAATGACATAAAAGCAAACCTGCTAAGATGAATAAAACTATGCAATAGAATAATTTTTTAATCAAGGTGGAAAATAACACTTAAATAATTAGTATCCAAGACAGGCGATCAACTTCAGCACTAGGCTAGAAAAAAGAAGACTTGATCTATCAGACAATACTTCAACTGCAGGAAGGGATCATGGTGTCCTAATCCAGGAAATCAGCTCCCCTAGATGTCTTCAGCAGGTCCCAGACAGAACATCTTTCTTCGGCTGTTTTTACTAGCATTCTCTACAGACAAACAGAGAACCCTGAGCGAGCAGCACCTATACTTCACTTGTTATCTTAGCACTGTGCGCTGCTCCACACAATCAAAATGCTCCCTGACCGTTCATTGCTGTTAATCTACAAAATCGTCTCTGCACTCACACAGATCGGCCAAAAAGAGCATCGCGTCCAAAGAAAATGTATTTTCCCACCCTGAAGTGCATCTTCAAGGCTCAAATATACTTTTCCTACACCAAGAAGAGGTGGGAGAAGGTGGCTATTTAAAAATAAATAAGTGGTCTGGCTATTCAAAGCCTGTCAGGTACCAGGCTTCTTGGAGAGAATGGTCCTTTTGATAAACACAAGAGCAAACCTTTGTATGGGAGCAAAAGGAGCTGTGGCTTAATCGTGCTAATTAACCACACAAGACGAGTCCCTGGCTTCAATACCAGGGGGGACATCCTTCCAATTAACAGTAAAGCATCTCAGGGACAAATTAAAATTATTAGTGAGCAAGCCCACTAAGGCTTCATACGTTAACCACAATAACATCGCCACTTAAAGTATCTTCTAGAATAGACTACCAGGGATGAAACAATACAGACCTGTACAATGGGACGATAGAAATACGGGACACCATGTGAAGAAAATGATAGTAAACAGAGTTTATATTTATAGGAATAGAATAAAACGCAGCTAATCGACATTTTAACAAGGCTTCTAAGGGGGTTAGGACAATGAAAGCATTAGAGTTACTTAACTATGTACACACACTCTGTAGGCTATTTCCACATCGTGACACACGACTACCAGATTCTCAGGCTGGCTTGTCATCTTCCGAGTGTCCACTTCTCTTGGAAACAACTGAATCTACAATTATCGCCTCATAGACAGAGACAGGCACAACTAGACTTTTCCCCACTCAGAACAGGGGAGCACAGTTTGTGAGTGTATGAAAGGGTCAGTAAGGAATGGAGGCTCAGGTAAGAATGGAAGCTTAGCTAAGAAATATTCCAAGTGGCTAGAATGGCTGCTTTTACAAAGGAGGACTTCCTGATAAAGCCAATAACAACACACATGCAGAGATGTCTGATTGCATCGAGTTTTAATAGCTTACTGGGCCCAGCTTTGGGCCCACAAATCTCAGCTCTAGCTGGATAATCATAATTCCATGAGTATGATTCCTTTTAACCTGATTACGTGAAGTTCACAGGTTTAACAACTAGCTACTGCTAGGTTTGACAACTAGTTACTGCTAGGTGCTAGGGACACCCGCCTTCTAACACCACAGTGAAAGCCCTGGCCACACTGATTCCCCCAGATGCCATTACCTAGACTGCTGGGTTCTGATCTAGTTCTGCATGTGAAGGTGTATATCTCTCCCTTCCCCCAGATATAAAAACACATAGGCATGGCTACAAGTGCCTTTGCTAACACCTCCCTGGCTTTGTAGCCAAACAAGCGTGAGACTTGCTCCTTACTAGTCAAGGAGGAGGGCCGCAAAGCAGACTCAAGTCCTACTTGAGCCGTTGCTGAGGAATGTGAGCTTTAATGGGCCATTCAACCTCTCTGAGGGTCCCCCAGACCTACCTCTAAACATGCTGTGGGGACCGAGTGAGTGAACGTTAAGATAAAGGGCTCAACAAGACAGCTGGAATGCAGCACGTTGGCCAGATGGAAACCCTTTGTGTGGCCTCGGCCACCACCCCTCCTTACAGTATCAGCTTTCCAAGCCTACTTCTCTATGGTGATAAAGGGATGCTGGACAGGGTTCTGTCTTACGTGACATATTCGTAAGTCCAAATATTTTATTTTGCTAGCTTTACCAACCACTTAAAAATATCAGAAATTTCATCAGATCCCCAACATCTGGCCAGTATCACTTGCCAATCCCTTACCTATGACACTGATGCCAGGACTTCACTGTAAAACCATTGAACTCCATCTCTAATTTTGAAAAAGCAGTCCTGGGAATCCAGTCAGTTGAAACCCAGAAAGGCTGAAAGGACCATGGAACTTGCCAGTGTTTCCACAAGTTTCTGCTGCACACCTTTAATCCCAACACTTGGGAAGCAGAGGCAGGTGGATCTCTATGAGTGCAAGGTCAGCCTGGTCTACATGGTAAGTTCCAAGCCAGTCTAAGATATATAGAGAGACCCCCCCCATCTCAAATAAACAAATAAAAATAACATTAAGGTGTTCTCTAACAGAGTAAGCTTCTGTCGTAGACACCCTGTGAAGCGGTCATGTGACTCCAGTGTTTTCCTCCTTATTTCTCCTGATCTTTGAAATGTTTTAATATATTTCCCCTTTGCACTGCAATAAAGACTCAAACATATAATAAATGTATCATATACATATGGCTTGGCACAATGACTGGGAAATTAGTGGTAAAATATAATACTAAGTCATGAACTTGCCATTTCATTTTGATACAAAGAGACAAATTTTGATACGCCTTGCTACAAGTCTGGACCAAAGAGATAAAGCTTACAGCCTTTAGACTATCCCTGTAAAATTCGGAGAATGCAGAGTTTGACAAGATAGAGAGAGAAGGTGATTTGACCTGCATTCTCTTGTGGGCCATAACATAAGGACATTAGCATTTTGCTCTGATACTCGTGTGCACACACACACACACACACACACACACACACACACACCTTCGCTCTAATCATTCAATGAACAGAGCTTAGAGCCTAGTTTCTGCTTGCAGTGAAATGCAAGGTTTTTATGAAGAAGGCATATGGCTGGGGTTATGATACACGGCAAAGACACATAAGACCCAATAGTATTGACTCCGTACATAGGTAAGGAAGTCACAGAGAGCATAAACCAACTGGGTTTCTGAATGCAAAAGCTTGGTTGCAGGAACTCTGTCTTAAGTTAAAATGTGTGATCCTATTCCTGGTAATGCTGACTTCAGTTTAGTAAGACCTAGGGTTCAACAAATCAACAAAAGGTCTCAGTCCATTCTGATCTTGGCTGTGTTCAGAAACTAATAGTAAAACAGTGAAGATCGCAGCCATGTTTAGTAAAAGCCCAGGGACATGACTCAGACAGGAACACATTCTCAGTGCCCATCCTACAGTCACCCTACAAGGAGCCAAGGAGGACCTGCCAAGTCCCTGAAAGCAGAGTCATCAAGTGGACAGGATGCAAAGAGAAGGCCAAGCAAACTGAAAACTAACTGAAGAATCTATCCGGAAAGTTCCAACTCTCTATGCTTACACAACAATTTATCCTAGGCCAAAGACTCTCACAAGAGCATCCACACATGCTGCCCCTCACCAGGTAGCTGTGCCATTAAGACACATTCTTCGGCTTTTCAAAG